AGGAGTTAAAAGGGCTAAGCAACTGAATATTAGCAAGTTGCTGGTGGAAGGAGATTCCCAACTGACTGTTAGATGGTTGCAGATGGAAGAGTCTAGCATGTGGAAGTTCTCAAATGAAAGAAAGAAAATCAAGCAACTAACTCAGAACATGATTATAAGGTTTCAATGGGCTAAGAGGAATACCAACTCCATGGCTGACTCCTTAACTAAACAGGGAGTGGAAAGATCTAATTTGTTTTGGGTTATTCTGTAATATGTTTTTTCGGGTTTGAAAGGGAGGGTTAAGACATTTTATCCCTCCATTTTGGTTGCATCCTACATATCTATTTTAATAAAAGTGTTGTTATTGATAAAAAAAAATGACATTAAGGAATATGCAAAGCCGGCGGACCTTGAGATCAAAATAGAGGAATCCCTTACGTTCTAGATTATAGCCCATGAATGCACACATAGCTAATTGAGCAATTAACTACGTGTGTTCATGAAGAGGAAGGTGAACAAAGCAAATACATCCAAAAACATGAAGCATGGAAAGGTTAGGTGGACAATGAAACAAGAACTGAAAAGGAGATTAATTTCCAAAAATAGAAGAAGGATAATAATATGGTACACAACAGAGTTGGTTGCCTCCACCCAAAAGTTAATGGGAATATGCGAATCATGTAAAAGGGATCTCACCATACTAGCAATATGACAATTTTTATGCTCAAATACCCAGTTTTGTTGAGGGGTGCCTAGATAAGACCTCTGGGACTGAATACCAAGTTGCTTAAGATAAAAGCTTAAAACTCACTATCCTCACCATCAAAGTACTTCCCCCAAGTCAAATCATAAATTGATTCATAACCATGGCATGGAAGTTCTTAAATGTGGGAAAGACTTTAGATTCTTATGGAGAAAATGAACTCATGTATGTCATGTGCAATCATCAATGAATAACAATGTATCTATAACCCAAGCATGAAATACCACCATATATTTTTTTTATCTGTTTTATCACATTCTTTTGTGGTTGATAGAATCCACCATATACATACATACACACATATATATATATATATATATGATAAGATTTTGAGTTCTAACAGAACTCCAGAGAGAGAGAAGATAACGATTGAAAGTAGATAAAGTTTAAAGGGATAGAAGACAAGAGATAAAAAAAATAAAATAAGATGTGTACCTGCGTACACTTAACCTCTTCAATCAGCAGAACTACAAGCTCCCTCCTCTATTCTCTCCTTTTTTCTCTCTCTCTCTCTCTCTTTTATCTCTTTCTCTTCTCTCTTTTCTCTATCTTCCGTTCTTCTGCCCATTTTTCCTCTCCTCTCTCCCTTTTATAGAGGAGGCAGTTATGGGTAGGGAGGTTAGAGCAACTTCCCCACTCTTCATACGTGGGACGGTTGCTTAATTCCCTCCATAACCAGAATAATTTAAAATTTAAATTTATGTGAAGTGGGTCAGCTGTCAAATCTGGCCCCCTCAAGCCTTATATATATATTTTTTACATCACATATAATATACTTTTAATCCTAAACAGCTGGTTAAGGATGTTGGAAGGTATCGGAGATTGGTAGGCCGGTTGCTATACTTATGTATGACTCGACCAAACATATCTTATGTAGTGAGTGTGGTGAGCCAATACATGCATGCCCCATGAGTTCAGCATTGGGAGACCATTGACAGGATACTTTCCTATCTGAAGGGGCACCCAAGCAAAGGCATACTGTTTTCCAACCATGGACATTTGAAATTAGAAGCCTACACAGATGTTGATTGTGTAGGGTGCCTAGATGACAGGAGATCTACATCAAGACTTTGCACTCTTGTTGCAAGTAATTTAGCTTCATGGAAGAGTAAGAAACAATCAGTTGTTGCAAGGCTTAGTGCAGAAGTTGAATACAGAGCCATGGCACATGGTGTTTCAGAGCTTCTCTAGGTCCGATCCATGTTAGAGGAGATTATAGTTGAGGTTGAAGAACCTATGATGCTATACTGTGATAATTAAGAAGCAATTAACATTGCCCACAACCCAATTCAGTATGATAGGACGAAGCATACAGAGGTGGACCGACACTTTATAAGGGAGAGGGTGACATCTGGAGAAGTGTGTTTACCATATGTTACATTACATCTGACCTACAGCTTGCTGATGTTCTTACAAAAGGTGTTGAAAGGAACAAGCTGAAGCATGATCTACACAAGTTGGGAATGTGTGACATCTATTCCCAAACTTGAGGGGGACTGTTGAGTTTTTTGGCTGATAACTATTGTTTTATTTTCATAACACAGTTATAGAGGTATTGGGCCCAAGGCCCATTAGTTTCTTTTTAATTAAGAATGTCTTGTTAGTTTGTACAAGTAGGCCGACTTACTAAGGGCATACTTGTCTTTGTATTCAGTTTATTTTATGGGTATATAATGCAACTAGAGGGGTGGCCAGACCTAATCTTTTGGCTACTACTCATTTTCTTCAACTTCTCTTCTCTACTCTTCTCTACACAAACCTTCTTTTCTTTCTTTTACAGTTTTATATCAAAACAGGAAACTTTGACACTTATCTACTACTCCCTGTAAGTCTTACCATGAACTGATGTCCCTCATAAGAGATCTAATAAGATTTCTCTTGCTGGTTGTACAGAACAGAGGAGACTGGTTCTAGGGCTGACCAAAACAGCCGTAAACCAATCATTGGAGCAAGGAAAAAATAAAGGGATTTGAATGTACTAAGAGAAAATCAGAGAACAACCTGCTCTGATACCATGTTAACCTAGAAAGAGAGAAACAAGAAAGAAAACAAAGAAGACTCCAAGACTGTTCAGTTGGTCTCAAGGAGACGACCCAACCCAGGATAGATATATTTATATTAAAAGATAACTGGACAATATTGTCCTTACACAAAGAAATAAAATACAAAGTTGTACAAGCTGTATACTAGTACACATGCCCATATACATGCAAAGAGAGAATAAGACAAAACTACTCGTCTTCTCTACAAAACTAGTGGAGAAAGTTCTTAGCACCTTTTAATCTCCTGCCCCTTTGTTGTAAGTCATTAGGAAAAGCTTTTCGATCTTTTTGGTAACAGGTGGAATGTAGCCCTACAGATTGGTATCCTCTTTTGACCCTACAACCTTCAGATGGCCAGAGAGAAGAGGTAAAGTCATGTGGAGATGTGCTCAAGCTTCCTTGGTTTGGACGGTGTGGGAGGAAAGAAATGCTAGAATTTTCAATAATAAGGAAAGGAATGTGGAGGCAGTTTGGGAATGCATAATTAACAGGTCTATACATTGAGTTAAATCTTTAGACTTGTTTTCAGACTATACCTTTGATGTTATATGGCAGGACTGGAAGTCTGTGGCAAGTAGCTCTACAGTTAAAGATAAACCTGTTGTAGCTTGGATACCCCCTGAAGGAGGTTTTTTGAAGTTAAATTTTGATGGCATCAGCCTAGGAAACCCAGGGCCAGCTGGTATAGGAGTGTTCAGAAATACCAAAGGGCACATTATTGCTTTATTTTCGGGTCCTGTTGGAGTAGGGGATTCAGTGCATGCTGAGTTCCAAGCAGTAATGCAAGGAGTACAGATTGCTAGAGTTAAACTATGATAGGTTGTTAATTTAAGGAGACTCTAAACTGATAGTAGGATGGTTGAAGGAACCGGATACAGCAATCTGGAAATACAGATAAGTAATGAAAAGATTTAAATGGCTGATTAGAGATATGACTGTTAGAGTACAATGGGAAAGGAGATCAGCTAATGGGTTAGCTGGTTATTTATTTAAGCAAGGGGTGCATAAGTCTTAGATGTTTTGGAAGATTTAAATGGCTGATTAGAGATATGACTGTTACAGTACAATGGGAAAGGAGATCAGCTAATGGGTTGGCTGATTATTTAGCTAAGCAAGGGGTGCATAAGTCTTAATTGTTTTGGGCTCAGTTGTAATTCTGTTTTTGTAATGGAGGCTGTACCTCGCACCTCATTGTAATATTCTGTGTCTTAATAAAATATTATTATTATTATTATTATTATTATTATTTATCAAAAAATGATTTAAGATTTAAATCCAATCTTATTAGACATAACTGATATCCAGATCATATATATCAGAAAGACTGGTTAAAGGAGGAATGTGAGGGTCCATGGATTATACCTATCAGAAAGACTGGATCCTTGGCATCCAGAGTGAATACCCAACCAGTTCAAGTGGATTCTGAGATCAGCCAATTGCTTGTCGAACAGTTTAGTTAGCAGAAGTGTTGGGGAGTAAGTTGTATCTGGGATCATCCATCTCTGGGTAGTTTTTGCTACATGTATCATTTTGGTTTAGTTTTAAGCCCGTGCTCCTTTGTTTATTTCTCATAGAGTTTTTATTGATTAAACAATAAAGATAAGATTCTACAAATATGCAGCAGCACCAAAATAAACAGATTTAATTAATTAAAAGGCAAAATTTCATCCTTTCTAAAGAACTGGTATAAAGTGTGATTGAAAATGACATCTTGCTAAATGCTAAAAGCAAGGAAAGATAAACTCAATAAAAAGATCTTTCAATGTTAAAAAGTTAGAATCCCCCATAACACACATGGCACCATCCATATGCATTGGTCATCGCCATAACTAACAAAATCATGTATGATATATTTATTACTTAAAGGCTTTCCTGTGTTTTCATAGCAATAAAAGGCTACATTAGTAAATTAATAATGAAAAACAAAATGAATATGTTTTATATGAAATGCATCTTTTATCACTAATAAATTTCATCCACTCATATGTATGCAGGAAAGGGCATTAAGCATGTAAGCATGTTTATCTAAAAAAAGGTCTAAGTCATCCAGGTAAAGAGAGATTATAAATTTTAAAGTCATGATATTTTATACCAAGCTTTCAGTTGTTATTGTATCAAAGAAGACTTGCAAATAATATATGGGATAAAGGTATTCCAACTTAAACTTATTCCAAACTTTTACTTCTGAAGGGAGGGGGAGGGGGAGGCAGGACCTTAATACACCTAAGGCCAGCAACAACAATTCCTTCCTGTGGATCCTCCCGAAGCTCCAAATGACCTGATGACTTTTCAAGCAAATCATAGATGACCTGAACTCAGAATCAAATCAAACATTAATATGTACTTCATAAAACAATAGTTGCAATTAGTGAAAGAAGAATTAGCTAGGTAAAACCAATAACCACACGCCCTACTTCATTGTAGACTTCAAGGTAGGAACAAGTAACTTCAAAGTCGTCAGAACTAGTGTCGCTTTTGATAAGATCAAAAATTGTATGCAAGCTGAGAACCATGAGTCCAGAATCACCTTCGGTTCCAACCATTGTGTATGTTTTACCACTGGTAAAATACGGAACAAGAATTGGATTCTATTGAAAAGAGAGATGGTAAATGCTCTTGTACGATAAAAACATAAACAAAAGTGCATTGTTTACATTATGATCTTACATGCAAAAAATAGAGGAAAGAAGATCACATGAAGCATCCAATTTTAAAAACTGGCCAACTCTATCATTGCCAAGCAAATAATTTCTGTAGTAAATGCCCGCATTCTTGAGCCATTTCTCCATGGTAGATGGTGTGGATCACAATATTGACCATATTTAGGAGCCGCAAATAATGAATATTTCAGAGATTGGAATAGGTCAATCAACTAGAAGGTGCAAAAGATTTTAAAAGTGTGAAAGTTTTTTCCACATCTTCACATTTTAAAAGGCTAGGCCACAGAACATGTTATCTTCTGAAGAAAGCTTTTATTAGCCATCTTCCAGGGCTCAAGAATCTGATGGAGCTAGCAGTGACAAAAGGTTATTACTAAATACTAACTATCATAAATCAAATTGATCACCTTCATAGACTGGATAAAGGGTAAGGAGAAAGTTCACAGAAAACATTCAAAGAGACTTCAAAGTTCCTAATCAAATTAATTTTCTGCCCATAATTGAGAACACTGTGAAAACTTATAGGAAAGGTTCACAAAGACTCAAATTCTCCAATCAATACGCTGTCATTTCTTACAGAACATTTTTTCTTTGACTAGCTATCTAAACCCATAATCTTTCTACTTGTTCACAGTGGCAAACAATAGCAACATTTTGAAAACCATAAAAGACATCAAAGTGGATAGGGGCCAGGTTATATTTTTCCCAGTTTAACCAGGTTGACAATCTCGAAATAACCAAAACTGGCCAGTTTTCATTGAACTGAATTGAGGCCAGGTTTCAATTTGATCAGATTCATGGCCAGCCTGCTCGAATTTTCAAAACATTGAATAATAGTACTATAGCATGATCTTGAAATAATAGGGGCAACAGGTAAACAACTTAATAAGAGATGTGGAAATGGAGCAATTTCCTGTAGACACAAAGTATGGTTTTGTACATCCTACTAACTTAAAGTATATCAAAAAGGATACCTAGAAGTTCAATTAGAATATTTAGAAGTCAAGCAGGAATTCAGTGGAAAAAGATAAATATAACTAATGAACTATAACATAATTACAGAAAAACTGCAATGATGAAGAAAATAAGATGACCTAAACTCCTAGTCTCTATGAAATGGTACTAACAAACAAGAAGGATAGATTATGTTGTACATTAATGCAATTACTGCATTAAGTTAGTACCTTCCAGTTGAACCATATGCGAAAATAGCTGCATTGAGACCTTGAACGACCCCAGAAATTTTAGAAGAAATACTTGTCTTATAAACATCCTGGAAATGTTAAAGCATTGTTAGGTGCAGAAAATCATAACAGAAAAAGTTTCACATATTAATTTACATTAACTTTTAGTGTAAATTCCATATCTGATGTATATATATCCATGCCCTTGCTGTATCCAGGTAACAAATATAACAATTTAATTTTTTCATTAATAAAGCAAGAGCTAGTAGGTAAGAAGATATAAATATCTGCCAAATGCTCAAACTCAAATGTGTTTCATTTATTTTTTGTTAAGAAGCATAAACCCATAAGTTGACCCGGACAGTCAAACCATAGTTGTCAAGGCGACACCTAGGCAACAAGGCGCCCTTGGAGGCTCGCTTCACCTAATTGCCAAGTATTTTTGCATACAATGTTATAAAATACTATTACATTCTGATTTTTTTGAGATTATAACTATAAAATAGACATTATAAAACTAAAATAATCATTTTGCATGTTTATATACTAATTTCTTATTTGTTAGGGTTTAATCAACACAACATTGCTAACTGTTGTATTTTTTTTTATCAGCAAAAGAGAGTTTTAATTAAAATAGGTTTGAAATAAAGTTTTACAGCTTGTAGATGGGAATAATGCTCCCAGACTGGTAATATTCTGTCCCACTTTACAGCGCAGCCCAAAACAATTGTTGCCTCAGTGCCCCTTGTTTGGCAAGATAATCAGCTAGCCCATCTGCGCTCCTTCTGACCCATTTGAATTCAGCCTCTACCTCCTTTGCAATCTTTTCCACTTCCTTGATCACATGTTTGAAGGTCCACGGAGTAATTCTATTGTTTGTAGCCCAAGAGATGATCACCTTAGAGTCCCCCTCTACCTCAATATGCCTAAGTCGTAGCTGCTTAACTAGTTTCAGCCCTTGTAACAGTGCCAATAACTCAGCTTTTATTGAATTGCCAATGCCAATCAGTCCTGAGAACAAAGCCAATACCCTCCTTTCAGAATTTCTGATTGCTCCTCCTATACATGCAGTCCCGGATTTCCAAGAGAACTTCCATCAAAATTTAGTTTAATTCTGTTGCCTTCTGGAGGTTTCCATTCCATCCATACTTTCTCTTTCGCTCTTGAGGAAGGATTTTACCCAATGAACTACTTTAACTTTTATAGTGTCTATCACTTCCTCCACTGTTCTACTTTTCTCCAAGAAAATTTTGTTAATTCCTTTCTTCCCAAACCACCTAGCAAATAGCTGCCTTCATAGATCTCCACATTATCATCCCTCTTTTCTTTGGTTGACTCAAGAAATCTCGGTTGAAGAGTCCTGCCACATCTTGAGGGGGAACCCACCTGCAACCAAAGAGAACACCAAAGAATTCCAAAATGTGATGCACAAAGGAGCAAGATATTAATAAATGTAGAAGGGTCTCACCACTTTCCTTACAAAGAGAGCACATGTGAGGAGAAAGGCAAGCAAAAGGCCTTCTTCTCTGCAACATTGCTAACTATTGTATTGAACCCTCAAAGACTTCAAAACCTGAACCAATAAGTAAGGAAGAACTTAAAATTTTGTCTAATCAACACATTTTCTTCTTCCAAACCTTGTTCTTCTTCTTCCACCTTTTCTTTTCTTCTTTTCCTATAAAAATAGGGGTTCAGCCCCTATATTTTCTGAATTTTCTTTTCTTTCTTCTTTATCTTCTCACGAATATGTTGATTTTCTAGATTTAAACATGAAGTTTATACTTTTCTTATGAAAAGTACGGATAATTATTTAGGAAATATGGTTATGGAACCTAGGGAACTACCATAGGATATATGGTAGGCGACTAGGTGACAAGGTGCCCCCCTATCACCTAGCCTAGCCTTGGCGCCTTCAAAACTATCACTCAAACTGTCACTGTCAAAATTTTTGATCCGGTTTTCATAAAACCGGAAATTCTTCAAAAACAATTGACTTGGTCAAAAACCGCTAACCCAAGCGGTTGAACAGTTAGCCCATTCGACCTGGTCACCAATTCAAGGGTTAGCCAATAAGATGTATTGAAACTTCTACAGGCCATAACTTAGCGCTCAGTTATCTGATTGGGGTGATTTTTATATTGATTTTGGGCAACTTTTCAAGATTTATGTGTTCCAAGGAGCCAAAGGAGCCTTGCCCTACTATTTTTGCCAAAAAAAAGGCCCTTTTGTCCTCAAAACCCATTTTTTATTTTTTAGCATTTTTATAAATAAAAAATTAAAAACTGAAACAAAAAATATAAATTAGCCACAGAATAATACATATATACATACATATATGTATGTATTATGTATGTATGTATAGATAATGTTGTTATGTATATATGTATATATAGATAATGCTGATATGTAACGGTCTGACCCATTCGACCCAGACAGTTAAACCAGTGACTGCAACACAGAGGCAAAAACGGTTTGGCCTTTGGATCGATTTTTAAAACATTACCTAAAACTAAGAGAACCACACATGAAAGAATTCAGCAGCCTCAAACTATGTGCCAACCTACACCTTCAGCACAGCAGAGCTACCCCAACACCTCAACTTACACCACTGTAATTTTCTACATCCCCTTCCTAACCTTCTTTTGTTTTTTTTGATGAGTCCCTTCCTAACCTTCTTCACCTTCTTGTTCAGAGCAATACCAAATAAACCCCTCTTTAACCAGTCAGACCTCAGAGACTTGAACAACCCTTTGATTTTTTTTGCCTTCTAAATCTTTTATCTGCATTTGGAATCATTTCTGTTACAATCCCAAATAGGATGTAACTTAGTTTCATCTACTTCAAGGGAGACGTATACCTCCAAAGAGATAATTCACAATTAACAAAAGATAATTCTCATAATGATTCAATTAAGAGGGAAATTACAACTTAAATAGACTCTTGAATAATAACTGACTCCTAAAAACATGTTGTCCCTTATAATCCACTATTCTACTTAATGCAATCACTCTCTACCTAACTAGTAACATTGACCCCACAAAACCCAGCGTGAGCACAATACATGGATTTACAAGGACTCTAACCGACTCAATTAGATACTTGTGCCTAAAATTTCAACTAACAACCTTTTTATTCTCCCCCTAATTCCTAGATAGGTGGGACCACTAATGGGTATGTGACATTCCCTGCCCGTTGAAATTAACCTTGTCCTCAAGGTCAAAGTCACTATACACACATTCAACGCTTACTTCTCCACTGTTGTAATCCAGTGTTAGATGAACCTCCTTCGCTGCAATCACTACTGTATCAGCATTGGTAGTTGCCACTGGTGAAACTATTTCTAAGCTCATTTTGTTGGCATTGTCTCTAGCTTCCGTGCACCCATGCAGTGAGTCCTTCATAGGATCAGCATTGGTAGTTGCCACTGGTGAAACTATTTCTAGGCTCATTTTGTTGGCATTGTCTCTAGCTTCCATGCACCTATCCAGTGAGTCCTTCATAGGATCAGCCTTTGAAGTTTTGACAGAAAAAGAGCTCCATGTTTGAGATTGCATATAAGAAATAGCAGATGCAGCAATCTGATATACAACAGTAGAACTTGTGTGATGTCCATCTTTGTAGGAGAAAAACCCCTTACTCCTGACAAGAGCCTACCCCTCTACAAAATGTTGGTAAATTTGCTTGTCTCCAGCAGATTCTATAAGAAGATTCATGTAACCAAATGCCAAAAGAGTATAGGCATAGCTGTCACAGCCATGTAGTGGAGTTTCCACTTTAGTTCTGAAACAAGCAATTGGTTCTTCAGCATCTCCACTGAATAAATGAGGACCTGTCATATACAATTAAGCTGGGGAAAAATCTATAGAAACACGTGTAGGTTTTTCTTGGCTGTTTGATGTTCTTGCCCCCGCAGACCTTACTCCATATCCCTTCTCGACAGAGTAGCGGATTGTTCTGCTCGAGCTCTACTGACATGAAAAAGCAAATAGTTGTATAGACCAACACATGCACAACCGCCACGTGCTTGGATCTCAAAAAGGTCGTTCAAGAGCTTGGGGACGAAATGACAATCCAGGTGTTTCCCACGTGTAAGGTATGAACATTTTGCTTTTTCGATAGTAATCTTTCAGATGCACCAACCCAATCACTTGGTTGGAAGGAAAACCAAAGAGGTTGTAAGACCGATACCTTGTCAATGCCAGCCCTTGTAAAAATTCTTCGTGACAGAACATCTCTTTGTTCCAGAAGAGATTTCATTAAATGCTCTGACTCCACTGCTTGTTGCTTGTAAATCCGTGCAACTTTGACCGTGTCAACAATGCCCCTTCTTCCATGGATTGATTAAGCTTTGAGGAACTCCTGCTGGAGTACGAAGGGGAGGAAGTTTGATACTTGTGGATGAAACTTCTATTGATGTTGTTGATAGATTCTGGCAGTGCTATCTTTTCATCGATTCCATCTGTAATTCTGGCCTTCCCTGCTTCGTATGCAGATCCCACAAGCCAGACTCTTCTAGCAGGCATTTCTTTAAAAGAATTAGGTCTCAGAGAAGTGTGGAACCTGAGATTCCAAACCGATTGTTGGGGTGTAGATTCTCTGCAACGTTTGAACGAATATGACTGGATTCCGTTTTATCGACCACCAACACTTCCCCAGGCAGCTCAAACACTTCAAATGCTCGTTCCTCTTTTTGCTTTGGCGAATCCATGGCAGCCTCCAACCATCCAATGTCCTCAATGTCCGGTGAAAACCCATCTTTGAATTGCAAAACCAGTGCGTCCTTATTCCCTTCAAAACCCCAGTTCTTACTCTTCGGGTCAAGTGAGAGAAGAAATGGGGAAGAAGCATTGGCGTATTCAGGAACATCAGTGACGACCTCCTGTTTGTTGGGTTTTCCGCCTTCGGAATCATTGGTGTCGGTTATTTCTACCACTTCATCATGGATTTTGAAGGTGGCTTTCTCCTCCAACGGTTCTTGCTTTTGCTGCTTTTAATACCGTCTTGGCTGTTTGGGTTTCAACATCATTGTCGTCACCCCCACCATCCAAATGATGGATGGCCACATGAACAACAGAGTGCTTGAACTCACAGGGTGCGTATACGGCTTCTAGTTGATAAGATGAGTAGAGAGAGATTTGAACATCTGCAGCATTCTTTCCCAAAACTTCTCTTGGTTTGTCACCAATGATCGAACCTTTCCTTGTAGACAGAAAAACCGATCTTCAAAGTCGGGCTTCATAGCGAGACCGGATCCGCTCCTCACAGGCGCCTCACACGCATATCCTATCGCACGGTGGATGTGCCTGTGAGGCGCCCATTTGTGAGAAACAAATCCCGTCACGCTAGATACCAAAAGTTACAGTCCCAAATAAGATGTAACTTAGTTTACGAAGGAAATTAAGAAAAATAATTCTCAGGGAAATTACAACTTAAATAGACTTTTCAATAATCACCGACTCGTAAAAACATGTTCTCCGTTATAATCCACTATCCTACTCAATGCAATCACTCTCTACCTACTACCAACATTGACCACACAAAACCCAACGTGAGCACAATACATGCAAAGTGTTCTCCGATTCGGTTTCTTGCAGAGAAGAATAAGAGAGAAAGTAACAAAGCTAGAAGAGGTGTTTCTGAAGGTCTTTAATGTAAAAATAGAGACATGGGCACCAATTTTATATCAATAGCTCAAGGTCAGTTTTACTTATTTCAGTCTGTTTCTAGATCAAAGAATGCTTCTATGATGCTTCTTTCATGTTTAGAAGTCATCTTTATATCTAACAATTGGTATCAAAGCCACTCTATGCTCTGAAACGGCTAAAGCTTTGCTCTTTTCTTTTCTGTTTTTCAAGGAATTTCAAACCTGAAAATTGCCGAATTTCGGCCGTTTTCTTGTTGGAAAAGACCTTCTGGGTGGTCGGTGGTGACATGCCGACCGTTCGCCGTCGACCGGTTGTCCTTCAACACCCGTTCGGTGTTGTTGGGTTCGCTCAATCGAGTGAACACTGTAGCACCAGATTCGGGTGAAGAAGATGAAGCTCGAGCGTCGGGTGCCCGGATTCCCGACCTAACCCGGTTAACTTATGTTGTGTAATCCTGGTTCGACCCGAGTTGACCCGATCCAACCGATCTGACCTGGTTCGGTTTGAGTTTTATCTTGAATCGATTCAAATTCGCACGGCTAGGAACGGAGCTATCAGAACCGGTTCGGTCTGGATCTGCTCCAGTTCGGCTCAACCCAACAGACTATGACAACATCGCAGTTATGTGGCCGGTTCAAGGGGTTTTTGAACTCCAATTTGGCTAAAATTTCGTGGAACCCCACTAGACCCTATGACCCTATTATGTGCGAAATTTCAAACAAAAACACCCTTTGGATAAGGAGATATTGGACCAGTTCAGTGACTGATCTGCTAGTTCACTATCATATTGATGACTTCTTGAGGCCGGTTCAGGGGGTTTCCCACCTCGAACTGAGCTGAAATTTGGAGGGATCATAGAGAACCCTATTTTCTACTATTGTTCAAAATTTACCTATATATATGCATATTTCATTATGATTTGGTAATTGTTTTGTAGTCTTGCATGATTGCTTATCAATTTTAAATACCTACTATTTGTTCTCTTGAAAAGGCATGTGATAATGACTGTTATGCATATATATTTGGATATGATTGTGAGATTCACATGTATGAATAAGTCACATATTTGCACTTAACTACGATGGGTAGCGGATCGGCCCAACGGAAGGACGCTACTTTGAATAGTTAGAGTGGGATGAAAAGACTAAATAAGGGGTTCTGCTTGGGGAAACTTGTAACACAACGGTGATGAGCTTGCCCAACCGGCAGAATCACTTACTTAGTCTGGACCATTGAGATCATTTGTAGAATTATCGTTCAGCCCAATGGAGGAACGATATCCTACATCGATCTTGGGTCAAGACCTAATCAGGATTATACAATGGTCTTGATGAGATCTAACTGATGATTGAGTTAGATTATTGATATGTGTGTGTATTTTATGTGGCATGACATTTTGTATGTTTATTATGAAACTTGCAGTTGTTAATCCAGCAATGGTTACTAGTTATCTATCAGGCATTGAAATATTAACTACTACAAACTTTAACAAGTGGAAAGACTAGATTATGATTGTTCTAAGGTGCATGGATTTGGATCTTACAATTAGAACAGACAAACCCGTTGAAATCACTGGTGCCAATACTAGTGAGCAAAAGGCACTTTATGAAAAGTGGGAACATTCTAATTGCATGAGTCTCATGATCATAAGGAGCACCATTTCTATTGCAATCCATGGTGCAATTCCTGAAAAGGAAAGCGCAATGGATTATTTGAAGGCAGTAAAAAAACACTTTGCTGGCTCCACAAAAACATTGACAAGTACCCTCATGATCAAAATGATCACCATGAAATATGATGGTCACAATGGGATACGTGAGCACATTATGAAAATGAATGACAATATCCGAAGGTTTCCTTGTGCACTTCATTATGACTTCTCTTCCTACACAATTTGGTCCATTTAAGATCAACTATAATACGTAGAAAGAGAAATGGAAAATGAGCGAGCTAATCGCCATGTGTGTTCAAGAAGAAGAAAGGCTTAAGAGTGAAATGCCTAAAAGTGTTCACCTAATCACTGGACCACATAAGAGACACTTCAGGAAGAAAACTCAAAGAAAGGGCAAAAAAAGGCCATTGCTGCAAAAAGTGGAGATCATAAAGCTCGTTGCTTCTTCTATAAAAAGAATGGATGCGTAAAGAAAGAATGTCCCAAATATGCGGCATGGCTTGACAAGAAAGGTAAGAATTATGCCTTTATGTTTTCTGAATCCTATTTGGTTAGCGCACCATCTAATACTTGGTGGGTGGATATGGGCGCTATAACTCATGTCACGATTTCTCTACAGGGCTTTCTGACAAGCTAACGGCTGCATAAGGGAGAACGCACCATAGCTGTTGGCAATGGAATAGAGATAGATGTTGAATCCATAGGGACATATCATCTCATTTTGGATACCGGCTTTCATCTAGACTTAGTAGATACACTATATATACCTACATTTAAGAGAAATATTATTTTAGTTCCTAAACTTGATTCCTGTGGCTTTGAATTTAAGTTTAAGAACAAAAATTTTACTCTACTTCATAATTCCATTAAAGTTGGGTGTAGTGTGTTATGGGGAAATCTTTATAAGATTAATTTGCACCCTATCTTTGCTCCTGGATCATATATCTTGCATGAGAACTATATGGTCAGAAATAAAAGAAATCGAGTGAATGAGAATTCATCCATTCTGTGGCATAAAAGATTAGGCCACATTTCTAAAGAAAGAATGGAACGTCTCACAAAAGATAGAATCCTCAATTCACTGGATTATTCTGACTTCGACATATGTGCGGATTCCATAAAGGGAAAATTCACCAAGGCCACTAAAAGGGGAGCCACAAGATGTGTAGAGTTACTAGAAACAATACACACAGATATTTGTGGACCATTCCCTACCTCTGCTATGGGAGGACACAAATACTTTATTACCTTTATAGATGATTTCTCCAGATACAGTTACGTGTATCTAATTCATGAGAAATCAGAAGCACTTGATATTTTCAAGATCTTCAAGATAGAAGTTGAAAATCAACTCAATAAGAAGATCAAAAGTATACGGTCTGATAGAGGAGGTGAATATTATGGTAGATACACCGAAATAGACCAAAATCCAAGTGCTTTTGCCTTATTTCTACGAGAACATGGGATTATTGCAAACTACACCATGCCAGGTACACCTGAGCATAATGGAGTAGCAGAGTGATGAAACCGTACTCTCATGAACATGGTAAGAAGTATGTTGTATAATTCAAGTTTACCTGAGAATTTATGGGAAGAAGCCTTAAAGACAGCTATACATATTCTCAACAGGGTTCCTACTAAAGCTGTCCCTAATACCCATATGAATAATGGACTGGTAGGAAACCCAAATTGGGGTATTTATGTGTTTGGGGTTGTCCAGCTGAGGTAAAAGTACATAATCCGCAATCAAGTAAATTGGATCCCAAGACAGTTAGTGGTTATTTTGTTGGTTACCCTAAAAGATCTAAGGGTTATAGATTCTTTTGCCCTACTTTGAATACTAGAATTGTGGAATCTAGGCAAGTCGAATGTCTGGAATTTGGGAATTCTAATGGGAGCTTTGGATCCAAGCAGATCACCTTCCAGGAAAATCCAGTGATCATACTTGTACCAATCATACAAGAAAGAGTTATACCAATTGAAACTCTTGAGACTAATACACAAGGTGTCCAAAATAATGAAAATACTAAAAATACAACGCTAGAAGAACAAATCCCACTTAGAAGATCTCAAAGAGTCCTGAGATCGGCAATATCAAATGACTATGAAGTCTATTTAAATGAGTGTGAGCATGAGTTGAATTTGGAAAATGATCCTATATCATTTATTGAGACCATCAACTCAAGGGAATCAACTCATTGGTTAG